TTTCCACAAGTTAGCGGAGAACAACGGGGTCGGCTTCACCGACATTGGCGCGCATGCTGCCCGCGTAAGGTCGCGCGTAAGCGCCCTCGTTTCCAATGTAGCGTTCCGCGCAGGCGGCCCGCGTGAGGCACCGCATCAGGTCGCTTTGCCATCTCGCGTAAGACCTTGCTCTTCTCGCCGCTCCATTGGCACCACACCCCTTCATGCCACACCCGTTTCCTACTACCAGATGTTCGGCAGAAAAAGGGAGGGAAAGAACACACGCACCAACAACAACAACAATAACAACAATAATAAGTTTAAGACTGTTCGCCCTTATATGCTCGAGTGTCCAATAACGCATATTTCCCAAACCCTCGATACACGCCGTCTTCGTCTTCGATCGAACCCCTGTTGGGGGGTATACCTTTCTTCCCTGCAGGCCGGGCCCCGGCAAGCGGCGGGGCGGCCGCGGACCGTCGGCCTGGCCAGCGGCAGCGCTGATCGGTGGGGCGGCTGCGGATCGTCGACCGACCCCAAGAGGGACGGACAGGGGACCGACCACGACGACGACGACGACATTGGTCGATTTCGGCGACGACGGACGACGACGGCGACGACGAGCGAAAGCGAGAGCGAGAGAGAACGACAGCAGGGCCACGAAGGGCACGAAGTAGGCCACGATGTAGGCCACGAAGGCGACAGAGGGGCCAAAAGGCGACAGAGGGGACACGAGGGGATTGCGTTATGGGGCCACGACGAGCGCGAACGAGGGGGGCACGAAGTGCAGTTAATGAGGGGCCACCGAAGGCAACTATGGGGCCATGGACGGGGCCACCATGGGTAGCAACTGGGCCACGTAGGACAGTGAAGGGGGCACAAATGGCGAAAACGGGGCCACGAAGGGCATGCACATGGGCCACAACGGGCGCGACTCCTGGGTGCCTGGGTGTCGGGAGCGCGGCGCTTGGGCAAATTGCAGGAAATTCCAACGCAAGGCCATTCTTCAGTAAGTTGCAAGCAAGTCTCCAGCGAGAGCGCGATTCCAGAGCGCCGGGAGAGCGATTCCTTGAATTAATTGTGAGGAAGTCCCCAGCGGAGACCGCGATTCCGGAACAGAATGCGGGGAAATACGCGGGGGAGAGGTGTCCTGGGCTAAACTGTAAGGAGTCATCATGAGCTGTTTTTTGGGAGTCTTCGCAAGTTTACTTGCATGGCGTTGTTCCCCCCCCCCCCCCCACCTTCGCCCCTTTTCAAGCGAATACTAGCGTGTTGCAAGTGTCCTTTCGACTTTGCGTGATTTTCCGCCCCCCCCCGTTAATACGGAGACGTTCTGCGGCTTGCTGCAGGTATCCCCCCCCCCCCGTCATGCAAAAGGTTTTTTTTTAACTTTGCCAGAGTCAAAAAAAACGGCTCCAAGCGGGAGCCGCTGTTGCTGTAACCCGGGGGCCACGGGCCCAGTTTGAGCAGGATGACGTTCCCTGTGAAAAAACCGGGGGCGAGCGTCGAGGGGCACACTTCGATCGAGAAAAAATAGTATGCACCGGTGGGGGGGGGACCATCAATAATTATTCTTCAGAAGTGAGATTTCAACAACAACATCATCAACAACAACAACAACAATAACCAACAACAACAACAACAACAACAACAACAACAACAACAGCAACACCAACAACATCAACAACAGCAGCAACAACAACAACATCAACCACAACCACAACCACAACCACAACCACAACCACAATCACAACCACAAAACAACTAAACTTCCAGACTTTCGGCAGCTCGGAGGCTTGCATCTTCGGCGGCCGGCGCCCGGGCCACAAGATCGCGGCCCGCCTCGGGCTGCAGGAGGGACTGTCCCGTCGCCACAGCAGGCGGCATTGGCTCCATGTTTCGGGAATCTAGCTCCACGTTTCGGGAATGGTTTCCCCGATTCGTGGTTCTGACGCCCACGCGCCAGCTCCACGGATCTGTAACCAATGTTCGCGTATGCCCGACATGGGGACGGTGGCCTCATGGCCCACCCACCCACCCCAAGGAGTTCGGCCTGCAATCGAGAGTGTGTCTCCGATCGATCGGCGACGTATCGCCGATTCCAGGTTGAGGTTCCCCCCTGAGCTTAAGTCGGGCCTGTCCCTCTACAGGAGGAATATTCAAAAATAGTGGAACACATTGTCTGAGGACTATGTTTTGAGTATTGTTTTACAAGTTTGGAATATGTTTTGAGTATGTTTTTTCATCGAAAATCCCCCTGTAGGGGGACACGCCCGACTTAACCCCGAGCTGGCCCTCGCCATAGCACCCCCATCAATCAAACGTAGTCATGTCGTATCGCCGCGGGTCGTGCCCTTGCCGCTGCCTTGGGGCGTCGTTCGTGAACGCCAGGGTTAAGTCGGGCCTGTCCCGCTACAGGGGGAATACTCAAACATAGTCAAAAAATAGTTTGGGGACTATGGTTTGAGTATTTTGGGGCATCTTTTGAGTATTGTTGTGAGTATGTTTTATTTGTCGTCCAAAATCCCCCTGTAGGGAGACACGCCCGACTTAACGCTAGGGGCCAATTACCAGAGCGCAGTCCGCCGTTTCTTTTCTACTGTTTCAAATGTTGTTTTCGCACGAGTCTGACTCTGCGCCTGTCCGGCGGCCGTTGGAAATGCCGAGGGCCCGCTGCGAAGTTGTCCCGCGATTGGTTTCCCGTTGGCATGCAGTTCCATCTGCAGTGGCGCAATTGGTAACCGCATGCCCGCGATAATAAAGCATCCCCCTTTAACCCCTGAGTCCTGATTATCCATGCGATGCGGATCTTTGATAGGCGGGCGTCGAGGCCGAACTTTATCACCACCAGGGGAAGTACGAATCGCAGATTGAATCATCACCAGCATCATCAGCATCCTTTGGTATCGTCATCAGCACCCGTTGCTATCACCATCAGCGCCCTTTGAAAATCATGGGGCTCAAGCACAACGCTTGGATTCTCCTCATACTCCCCATCCCTGCCTTCCTCTCTCCGCGCCCCAGTTGAACTTGTGTATCGCCATCAGCGTTATCACCCGCGAAGAGCAACCATGAGGATGACGAGTAGCAGCAACCAATAATCAGTTGGTTTGACACAATGAACTTGGCAGGCCGAAACTACGATTTCTCTTGACATGTCCTTCTCCTCATCCTCCCTCTCCTCGTTGTCCTCCTCCTCCTCCTCCTCTTTTCTCGTCCTCGTCCTAATCCCTGGCCTTTTTTGTCTACCCTTTTTTTCCTGCGTTTACTCCTCCTTTTATTATTCCTCCTCCTCCGCAGATCAGCTTGGAGTTCATTCAATACCCATCCAGACATCTCAACATCAATATCTCCGGGAAAAATAGTATCCTCCCAGGACCCCGAATTCTATCATTTCCATGGTGTGATTACCACAGGCGCAGGGTTAGTGGGCGGGATGTGTGGCGCCTGCTTCTCATCGTTTGACAGGACGTTGAGGTTGGGAGTGGATGTACGCACCAACCAGGCGGAAGAGCAGGAAGGGGCTGATGGGGAGCAGGAGGAAGTGTGCGAAGGATCCGTTGCCGCCCGCGGGCGCACTCTGTTCGTCTGCTCGCGTGGCTCCAGCAGTTTTGCGACGCGAACGTTGCTTCGGCAGTTTTGCGGCGCTGCCCCGCTGCTCTTTGCAGCCCTCGGAGGACCGGAAGCCGCGCTCTCTGCGCGTGGGAGCAGCCCGCGCGCTGGAGTGCGCGCCGCGTCCTAGTTCGAAACGGCCCCGCCCCGCCGACCTGCCGTTGCCTGTCGTCGTCGTCCCCCCCCTCTTCCCCGACGCTCGACGCCGAAGCCAGGATAGCTGGTGACAGCCGATGCCCGAGGCGCCTCCCTCCCGGCGATCGCCGGGGGGGAGGGAAAGGAAGCCGAGAGGCAGGGGGAGGGAGAGGGAACGACCGGACTCAGGAGGAGAAGAAACACACAGACACAATGAATCGTCGATTCCCCAGTAAGTATGGGAAAATATGGGCAGTGGGGGGGAAGTCAGAAACCCATGAAATATGGGAAAATATGGGGAATCCTTTTATTTGTGTGTATTTATTTGTGTGTTCCAGGGCCCCGTCACGGACGGCGGACACGACGCCGCAAGCAGAGAGACACGGGGGGGGGAGGGGCCCGTGGGCGCCCGCGTGCGTTCTGGCGGTGGCTGGCAATGCGCGCTGGGGGGTGGCCAGGCCGAGGGGTAGCAGGAGGAGGAGGAGGAGGAGGAGGAGGAGGAGGAGGAGGAGGAGGAGGAGGGGGAGGAGGAGGGGGAGGAGGAGGAGGAGGGTCCGTGGCCGATCACTTGGCCTAGGCACTCGCGGTTGCCAAGTCGCTGGGATCCTGAGAATATTCTACGTTGCGACTCGCTTGATTGCGCTGGTGATGAACACCGAGGTGCCCGTTCGAAGGAGCGCAGTACTGGCAAGTTGGTGGCCTCCGCACGGGGGAACAAGACGGATACGCAACCCTATTTACGTGCACATTATTTAGCGACGCAGAGAACGGGGTCGTCTGCGCCGACACTGGCGCGTAAGCTGCCCGCGTAAGATTGCGCGTAGGCGCCCTCGTCTCCAAAGTAGCGTGCCGCGCTGGCGGCCCGAATAAGCCGCCGCGTAAGGCCGTTGTGTCACCTCGCGTAAGACCCCTTTTGGATCGTCGCTCACGCGAGGTTGGATACGGTTGTAGCGTACATCGTGGATTGAAAACACAGCGCGTTTGTCACAGCTACACGAATCGTTGCCGGTGCCTTGCCCGTTTGCCCTGTGCTGATGGGTTTGGTTTCCACCACCACCACCATAAGTTGGAGGGGGGAAGGAGGAGGAGGACCAGGAGGAGGAGGAGAAGGACGGAGGAGGAGGAGGAGGTGGAGGAGGAGGATCACCCCCTCCCCCTCCAACTTATGGTGGCGGTGGTGGACAACAGGCCATCACTGTGCGTCTTTATCCCGCGCGCGCCGCTGCGTCCCGTTCGGGTCAGGCCCTCTGCCTTTGTCCCCGGGGGAGGGCGCCATGACGCCCGCCTGCAGCCTGGCCTGCCCAGTACTGTCGGAGATGTACGAATGCTCGAGCAATGCTTCGAAAGGCCAGCCCACCGCCCACCTTGGCATCGCTCGGACGTGTGCATTTTTTCCCAGCGAGAACCATCGAGGACCATCCTGGACCATCGAGCAAAAGAAACACGCACGAAACCGAAACATGCACGGGAAATGGACGTCCGAGCGACGGCAAGCCACCCTCTGCCGCTCCCTCAGCTCCTTCGCCTGCCCTCGCCTCGGCGCGTCTCCCTCCTCTGCTCCCCGCCGCTCCACCGACTCCTCCCCGCCGTCGTCCGCGAGGGACGCGGCAACCTGGGTGCGGCGGGGGGAGGGGGGAGGCGCAAGCCTTGTGGACGACGGTCAATGGAGAGGAGGCATGTTGCCAAATAATTTCCAGATGTCTAGAAGATGTTTCAAACATGTTCTAAACCTGTTAAAAGCATGTTTGACGTATTTTTAGAACACGTTTTTCACATTGTAAACACATTTTAAATTCAATTATAGGGCTGTTAGAGTGTTTATTGTCGTGGCATCCACTACGCAAGCCATCATTCAAGGGAGGTAAAAGCACCCAGACCAGACAATTGGCGTTTGCTAAGCGGCCCTGGGCGTTTACTAAAAAGCCCCGCCCTGCTTGATTCTTTCTCTGGGTGCGCGTCGGGGTGGTTCTTAGCGGGGTGGACTTTCTGCCCTCTAGTCGTGGAGGCGCAGCTAGGCAGGCCCGGGAGGGCTCGGAGAGGTCTGGCACGGGTCTGACAGGGTCTGGCACGGTCTGGAGGAGCCTCGTTGCCCTCACCGCTTCCGCTGCGAGGGGGGGGGGAGGATGGCGGGAGCTGCAAGGCTGCTCCTTCGGTCCCGGCTCCAGCTGTGCGCTCGGCAAGGCGGGGCACGCTTGCGGACAGCACCCAGAAGGCCACACCGCCGGCGTAGCCGCACGAGTGGCTGGCGGGATGCCACGCGCACAGCGCACACACGTCACCAGGCCACAGGATTGCGAGGCTCGCAGTGCTGGCGATCAAGAGGGCCAGATACAAACAGGTTCAACCGTTCTTTGGCCCACCCTCGATGTCGGACGGGGGGAGGGCCCTAGGCTGACCCCCACCCTACGCGGCGGGGGCCGCGGGCGAATTCCCACCGCTGAGCCTCGACCGCGCCCGCGGCACGGACGCTCGACGCCGTATTGCACACCACGAGCCACATCAGCAGATCCAAGACAGATCGACAGGCCAGAGACTGCAGCCTGTGCAGGAGTGTGCGCCGGATGGAAATGTTCGTCAGCAGGACCGGAGTGTTAGCAGGCTCAGGGATCACCGCAGGTTCAGTAAGGTGATCTACGGCTACATCAGCTGGCGGACCCAGCAGTACAACATCGGCAGGATCGGAGCGAGCGTAAACTGTATGGGCTGGCCCAGTCTGAGCGGCAACAGAGTCATCCGCAGGACGCCCAGGAGGCACGCCAGCCGGAGCAGCACGTACGATCGACAGGTGCACACCGAAGGTCAGCAGGTAGTTGGTCAGCACGCACGCCATGAGGCTCCGAAACATTGTCCCCAGCATGCTGTAGATTGGCGGCGCGCAAAAGGGGGTAGGTGAGGGCAGAGGGCTTTCAGAAGCACCCCTGCTTCTTAGAAGGCCTCAGCCTTACGTCTATAGAGAAGGCACGCGCCTTCTAAGAAGCAGGGGTGCTTCTAAGAAGCCTTCCCCCCTCCCCCTACCCCCCTCTGCGCGCCGCCAAGTAGAGCAGCGGGTACCTCACAGGAAGGATCATAAGCAACCAGCTGGGCAGACGGGAAGTTTCGTGGACCGCCTCCATGGTGGCCACGCGCACTGCCCTGGGAGAGTCCTGGGCGGACTTTCGCGACCGGGCGGAGCGAACTCATTCAGGCCGACGCCCCAGTCCACCCCCCCAAGATCCTGGCGGCAACGATGGCTTCGCCGCGGGTGCTTGCGTACAGTGGAGGCCCATGCCAAGAAACACTCTGCTTGCCTCCAGGGTGCCCTGGGTTTCTTGGGTTTCGATGGTTTTGCCATGGAATTGCGCGGCGCTCCCGCACCAAACATCGATGGACGCCCTGGGGTCTCAGGGCTGGGTTTCTTGTGGAAGGTTTCTTGTGATCAGGCCTCCACTGCATGTGCCTTCCTGTCCAAGCCAGGAGAGGGACACGTACATTGGGGGTGCGCATCAAGAAGCCATATGCTCTTTGTCAGGGCACCCTGGGTTTCTTCGCTCCGCGCGCTGCGCGGCGGCTTCCCGTGGCCGTGGAAGGAGCTGCTGCGTTCAGGGTGCTTTGGGCTGCCCCCCCACTTGCGCCTCGCGCCCGCGGGTTTCAGGGCTGGGTGCCTTGCGAGGCTCTCTTGCGGCCGCGTCTGCACTGCACTGCAAGCCCCGCGAGCTTGTCGATATTGGACCGGTGGTCCCCCGCGGCAGACCCGAAGGCCTCGCCGCGGCTCCGCCCCGCCTCTCGCCCTCCAACCTGGTACTCAGGAGGGGGAACAAAAAACACACAGACACAATTAATCGCTAATTTTCCCCAGAAAATATGGAAAAATAGGGGAAGTGAAGGGGAAGAATAACAAAAAAAACAAGATATTTTGGAAAAACGGGACATGCTGGGATTTATGCGTAGTTGTTTGTGTGTGTCCCTGGGCCCCTTCGTGTACGTCGGGCGAGCGGCCGGCTCGCAGCGCAGCGCGGCGGCCTCGCGCCGCGGCTCTTCGGGAGGGAGAAGAAGGAACATCATAGCTGAGAAGGAGGGGGAGGAGGAGGAGGAGGAGGAGGAGGAGGAGGAGGAGGAGGAGGAGGTAGGGCTGGAGGGAGGAGGGGGAGGAGGGGGAGGAGGGGGAGGAGGGGGAGGATGGAGGGGGAGGAGGGGGAGGAGGGGTAGGAGGGGCGAGGGAGAGGAGGAGGGAGGAGGGGGAGGAGGAGGAGGAGGAGGAGGGGAGGAGGGCAGGAGGAGGAGGAGGAGGAGGAGGAGGAGGAGGAGGAGGAGGAGGAGGAGGAGGAGGAGGAGGGGAGGAGGGGGAGGAGGACGAGGGGGAGGGGTGAGGAGGAGGAGGAGGAGGAGAGGAAGGAGGAGGGGAGAGGAGGAGGAGGAGGAGGACGAGAGGAGGAGGAGAGGAGGAGGGAGGAGGGAGGGGGAGGAGGAGAGGGAGGGTGGGAGGGAGTAGGAGAAGGAGGAGGAGGAGGAGGAGGAGGAGGAGGAGGAGGAGGAGGAGAGGAGGAGGAGGAGGAGAAGGAGGAGGAGGAGGAGGGGAGGCGGAGGAGGAGGAGGAGGAGGAGGAGGAGAGAGGAGGAGGGAGGAGGGAGGAGGGAGGAGGGTGAGGAGGGAGGAGGGAGGAGGAGGGAGGAGGGAGGAGGAGGAGGAGGAGGAGAGAGGGAGGAGGAGGAGGAGGAGGAGGAGGAGGAGGAGGAGGAGGAGGAGGAGAGGAGGAGGAGGAGGGAGGGAGGAGGGGAGGAGGAGGAGGAGGGAGGAGGAGGAGGAGGAGGAGGAGGAGGAGGAGGAGGAGGAGGAGGAAGGAGGAGGAGGAGGAGGAGGAGGAGGAGGAGGTGAGGAGGGGAGGAGGAGGAGGAGGAGGAGGAGGTGGAGAGAGGAGGAGGAGGAGGAGGTGTGTGCGTGTGTGTGTGTGTTGTGTGTTGTGTGTGTGTGTTGTGTGTTGTGTGTGTGTGTTGTGTGTTGTGTGTTTGTTGTGTGTGTGTGTTGTGTGTTTGTGCTTGCGTGTGTGTGCTTGCTTGTGCGATTTACGGCCACTTCCCCCGCGCGCAACCCCGTGACGGATCGGCTTGCTCGGCCAGGAACGAATGAATGCAAGCCGGGTGTCGAAGCACATGGGCAGTAATGCAACGCTATGGGCAGTAGTGCCGCACGGCGGTGTTCCATGCTTTTGCTGGAATTGCCGCGAGCTGTCAAAAATCATACGCGCTGCTCTCGCAGACTTTCTCCGTGCGCTTATACCACTCCTTTGGCCATGCCTGCTCTGGCCTGCCCCGGGGGCGTCTGCAGGCTGGCGGACGCAGTCCCGAAGAGGACTGCTGGAAGACCGCCCGCCGCACCAGATGCTCATCCGGGTGCCGGGCGATCTGCGCAAAACGACACAATTGACGGTGCAACAGCACGCGACTCAAGGGCGGCCAGCGGGCCCATTCCAGAAGGACTGCGTCAGAGATGCGACTACTGTATGAATGCGGTAGCTCTGAGACCTTCCGCAGAGACCGCACGTAGAAACTGTCGAGTTTGGCCAACTCGTGTTTCAGGAGCCACGCCGCGTGGAATCCGTGCAGCGCTTCGTCTGCACGCAGGCTTCGAAGATTTGCATTCCCGTCGCGTGGACAGGGTGGAATGAGACCAGACTCGGGCAAGGGTGTCGAACTTAGCTCTGCCGCAACCGAGCCGCCTGCTCAGCTCAGAAGCAATGGATTCATCGGCAGCCAATACACTCCCCAAATGAGCCATGGAGTCCTTTTCAGGGATCTGGGCGCCGTCTGGACTCGTCACGCTCCCCTGGCACCGGATTGCCAGCAACTGGAGCTTCCCCCAATTGAATTTGAGGCCGTAGATCGCGCCAGCGGCAGCAGGCAGCAAAAATCGCTTCCCCAGGGGATGCCAGTTTTGTACACCCCCTCTCCACGGCCTTGTGCCGGACCAGCTTGCTTGTGGGAGTGGTTTGCAAAAGTCGTGCTCATTCTTGCCCGGTCTCTGGACGCCGGGCGACCGCCTGGGCTTCCCCCTTTCTCCGCCTCTTGGCGAGCAGCGCGGGCGAGGGCGCGGCCGCCGACAGGCCGGCGCATTGCCACAGCACAGCCAGGCACCTCAGGACGCAGTTCCCGAGAGGTCTAACTCGGCATCGGCGCTGGTATATATATATATATGTATATATATATATATATCTATATATTGATAGGCCTCCAAGATGGGGTCCGAGTAGATGGGGTCGGAGGATCGCGCCGCATCGCCGATGCATCGCCGATGCGGCTCGATGTGCAGCCCGAATTGCTTCACGTCGACGTCGCCGATGCATCGTCGACGTCGACGATGTATCGCCGGTGCAT